ACATAACGTTATACAATATGTCATTTGATAGATGAAAACCTTGACTTTCTATTGGTTATGGTAATATATAATTAAAAATGAGACAACTATCAACAAATTCTGAAAGAGAGGACAGGTAGATGTGGCAAGAGAGAGATCTCATTTTCTATTCAGTAGCTCTGTAATTAAACAAAATTGAAGATTATAAAAATTATGGTTTGTCTGAGCAATGACAATTTTGTAGAGTAATTTATGTTTAATTTCGTACTTTTTCAAGGGGTGGTAGATAAAAGAGGGAAGATGACATTGTATCAGATTTATTATGTGTTTATTTTTAATATGAACGTTGTTTGATTGAGTTTGTATTTAGACAAACGTATGACTTGTCGTATCAGAAATGTGTTGCATATAACGAATTTATTATATATTTATTTTAATGTCAACGTTTGTTTTGAATAAGTTTATATTTGAGGGCGTGTCTAGCTTACCGTGTTAGTTACGTATGGCAAAACTACCACCAATTATCCAAGATTGTGGAATAATCGTGAACACAAGAATCAAAAATATATATGCATTTCCGTATCCGGTTAAATATAGCGGCTATAAAAAGCGACGCGCCAAAAACAGAGAAAATATGCAAGTCTACTAGGAAATGGTTAAAACCGTGTAAGCTATAAACTATGATTTTGCTAACCCTTATCAACCTGAAAAAGATGTTTATTTTCATTGATGGTGTAATTCCATGCATATTGGCAATAGTTTCGACAAACTAAGACAATTACATCTAATCGAGGAATTTAAACGTTGTGCACGTGATGACCTCAAAACTTACTTGGATGAAAAGAAAGTTGAAATACTACAAGAAGCAGCCGCTCTTTCCGATGACTATATTTTAACACATAAAACCACTTTTCATAAAAAGAAATTCCTACCATTTCAACAAAATCCTGTACTTGTTCAACCCACTAAAGTTGAGGATTCTTCCAAAAAATCCAGCTTCGCTAGTTCAAAATCTTCATACAGTTGGGCTACAACTTTATCAAATCCATCAAGGCCTGTCTGTCCTTTTTGTAAAAAACCTGGTCATGTTATGTCCGATTGTTGGGGTTTGAAAAAGAAGAAAGAAAAGGAGGCAACACCCAGTGCATTTGTGTCCACATATGGACATAGTTTCACCAGATCACCCAATATTGTTGATGTGGCCACTGATGTAAATGCTGATGTAATCAGTGAGGAATTTAGACCTTTTGTGTCTGTTGGTTCTGTGTTATTGGCAGATGACACTGGCAATCCCATACCCATATATATTCTACATGATACTGGGGCGACTCAATCATTGTTGTTAGAAGGTGTATTACCTTTAGATTCGAGTTCTGCCACCCGTGAGTCTGTTATTGCTCAGGGTATTGAAGGTAGCTTTGTGAATTCCTCTTCATAATATTTATTTAGCATCAGACCTAGTTTTGGGACCAGTTTTGGTTGAGGTAAGACCTACTCTGCCAATTAATGGTGTATCATGTTGTTGGGAAACGATTTGGCTGGGGAAAAAGTTGTTGCTGAACCTAAAATGGTTAATGAGCCGATCACTGTATCATCTAAGGATGATGTTGTAGTTGAGGAGAATCCTGATGTGTTTCCCTCGTGTTCTGTAACTCAAGCTCAGGCTAAGAAATTAAGCCAAAAACAAAGGAGAGACATAGAATCAGAGAACGATATTATAGATTTGTCCCAGACAATTTTTGTTGCCGAACCTAAAATGGTTAACTAGTGATCACTGTTTCATCTAAGGATGATGTTGTAGTTGAGGAGAATCCCGATGTGTTTCCCTTGTGTTCTGTGACTTGAGCTCAGGTTAAGAAATTAAGCCAAAAACAAATGATAAACATGGATTCATAGGATGATACTATAGATTTGTCTCAGACATTTTTTGGATCCGACAGGGATCTTGTGAATGATTGTACTACTGATAATACCTCGGTGAGTAACAACAATGGACGTGAGGGATCTGATTCACCTTGTGAAGCTCCATATCGCTGAACAAGAAAAAGATTTGCAGATCACCTCACTATATGAATGTGCACTCCACAAAAGATGAACTGGAGAAAGTTCCAAATAATTATTTTTTTCAAAAATGGGATGCTTATGAGAAAATGGAGACCTCCAGATGTGCCAGGTTCAGAAGATTGAGCTATGGTCTATCAAATCATTGTTCCCAAAGCATATCGTTCAGAAATACTGAAAGTTGCCCATGAAATCCCCATGGGAGATCATTTAGGTGTCAATAAGACAGGTGACAAAATTATGAGATATTTCGTTTGGCCAGAGTTAGGTAAGACATTTAACAATTTTGCAAAGCTTGTCATACCTGTCAGTTGGCCAGAAAGTCTAACCAGAGAAAGACAAAGAAAAACAGAAAGAGAGAAAGAAAGAAAGACAGAAATAGAAAAACAGAAAGAGAGAAAGAAAGACAGAAAGAAACACAGAAAGAAAGAGAGGAAGCAAGAGACAAAGAGAAAAAGAAGACAGAAAGAAAGAAAGAGAGGAAGCAAGAGACAAAGAGAAAAAGAAGACAGAAAGAAAGAGACAGACAGAAGGATCAAGAAAGAAAAAGACAGAAGACAAAAGAGGAAGAAAGAGAGAGAGAGAGAGAGAAAAAAAAGGAAAATAAAACACAAGGCTGTCAAATTGCAATTTATTCATTATGAGGATATAGTTTGAAGATTATCCATATCATAAGGGTTTATAACATTTGTGCCGGTGTACTTTCATTACTATACAATTTTGTGATAGTGATTTGTACAGGTTGTATTCTATATAGTAATCATTATTGAAGATGTATAATCCTTAAATAATGTATTATATATATATAATGCAATCTTGCCAATGTATATATATATATATATATATATATAATGACTTAATTAAAAATTGTCTAAAGCCAATTTTTAATTTTCTAAGGAGGGAGTTGTAATGAATTTATTATTATGTATTTATTTTTAATATGAACATTGTTTGAATTTGTATTTAGAAATATGCATGACTTGTAGTATTGGATATGTGTTGCGTATAATGAATTTGTTATATATTTATTTTAATGTCAACATTTGTTTTGCATAAGTTTATATTTGAGGACGTGTCTAGCTTAGCGTGTTAGTTACATATGGCAAAACTCCCACCAATTCTCCAAGATTGTAGAATATATTCGTGAACACAAGAATCAACAATATATCCATTTCTGAATCCGATTAAATATAGAGGCTATAAAAAGCGATGTGCCAAAAAACAGAGCTGATATGCAAGTCTACTATGAAACGGTTAAAACCATGTAAGCTATAAACTGTGATTTTGCTAACCCTCATCAACCAGAAAATATACAACCTTTGACCAAGAAGTTATAAATTTTGAACGTCAGTGAATTCTCATCAATCGTTAATATCTGTCCAAAAATATTACTGATTTCTCATCGGACATTAGTGGTTTTATGAAACAATTCAGTGCCTGACAAAGCTAGCTTGCTTCCCACCAATTATATGTACGTACAACTCGCTGGATATCAAGGAGACTCTGAACTAGGAAGACGATTTTAGGCTATTTGTAAGTTAGTGAAATTTCTGTTTATGAAACTTGGTTTGTAATACTTAATCATAATAGTTGTTATTGTAAATTATACTATTGTGTATATATATTAAAATGTGTTTGTTTCAAAACAAAAACTGTGTGAATCAATCTTTTTGGCAAATAGTGTAAATAAAATAAAATATTGGGCTATTTCTAAACACTAAATCCAGAGTACAGTTCAACTATTAAAAGTTAAATTACTTAACATGGCTGTGGATTATTTCAAATTCTCAATATGTAACAACATGCTATGAGAAAATGTGTCACGTGGGTAACACTAGGGGAAATTCAGGATTTTAAAAAATATTGTCTTGTAGAATTAAGAACTTAAAACTTATATACTATTAAAATATGGATTATTAGCTAAGCTTTTATGCTATTCTAATTGGTATAACATAAACAAAAGTAGTTTAATAAAAACCTTGTGTCATGTGCAGTAAAGGATACCCGTAGCAATAGGGTTAAAAAGTAAATGTAGGCTCTACCACTAGTTAGCTGTTTACTCATATACAGCACGTTCCCAGAAACCTAAGAATTCATCTAGCTTTTAACAGCATGTTTCAACTGAGTGTAACAATAATGGCTGGAGATGGCTTGTTTGTTTGTTTTGAATTTCGCGCAAAGCTACACGAGGGCTATCTGCGCTAGCCATCCCTAATTTAGCAGCGTAAAACTAGAGGTAAGGCAGCTAGTCATCACCACCCACCGCCAACTCTTGGGCTACTCTTTTACCAACAAATAGTGGGATTGACCGTCACATTATAACGCCCCCACGGCTGAAAGGGCGAGCATGTTTGGTGTGACGGGGATTTGAACCCGCGACCGTCAGATTGCGAGTCGAGTGCCTTAACCACCTGGCCATGCCGGGCCAGGAGACGGCTTGAATGGGTAATGAAGAAAAACTTTAATATAAGTTTAACATAACAGCAAATGTACAATGTTTCAATAAGGTTTTGTCATCATCAGGTACAGAGTGTAACAATGATGTCTCTAGAGTAACTTTGTGAAACTTAGTCAAACTGAAGATGACAAGCAACTGAAGATTACAGTTACAAACCTGACACCAAAGTTAAACCACCAAATCTGATAATACCTCTTTTTAAAGCAGTAAACTGAATTGTTTTTGTATGTTACATAGATTACATCTAAATATTCACAAAATAAACATAATGATACATACATGAATCCTTACAAGATAAACCTCTTAGGATAATTAGTAAATGAATAGGAACTAGTAAATGTTATCAGAAATGAACAAATAGGTGAAGCTTTGTCTGACGAACCAGACAATAAAGAATAAGAACATTAAGCTTACCACATAAACCTTTTTTGAACAACAAACAAGTATGATAAATCTTTTTTGTCATCCAAATATTCCAGAGAATTACTACCACAACACATACCATTTTTTCGTAGCACAAATTTTGGCCCCTATATTTCCTTCCATTGAGTATCTTTTGCAAGGTTGCATTTCAAATCCTGCTTCTTTGTCAAACATTCTTAAGTAACGAAACACCTTGTAAGAGATAAAAATAAATTTCCCCTTGTTATTAAAACCCAACCAATGAACGTTACATGTTCAAATACCCCAATTATAAACATTAAATCATCATAATATTGATATGCTCTATATTTCTGTCATTAACAAGTTTATTTGAAAAAAATCTGTAAAGCATATTTTGTAAAATGTCACATGACTATCATAGTTGTTTATTGGAGACTTATAGTTCCAATAGCTCACCTTCAGTGGAAGATGGACATTCTGATTCTAAACCAGGGTGAGTGCTTTTCACAAATTATGGGTCAATACAATATCTTAATGTTACTTAAAATATCAGTTCATATAAATTCAGCCAAATTTAAAGGCTTCATCAAATGTAAGATAGTGCTGAGGTGCTTTTAATATGATGACAAGTACAAGAAATATGACAGGGAAATAAAAAAAAACCTTCATTGATACATCGAAATGGTGTTTACAAAAACCTTCCTTTTTCCACATTCAGGATATGTTCACTTGAAAATTTTTAATACTGTTAAAAATCCTTATCTTTATTAACCTATAAAGATTTGTACCATTTTTCCACTTAGTAGATACACTTTTCACCAGTGTTAACAAATTATAACAAAGAGCATGAGCTAACAAAGAGTAGTTGAAACTAGACAATTTGCTTCAACTGGAAAACTGGCAAAAAACAAACATATATATATACACAGATTACTGGTCATACATTTCATGAGTACAAAGTGTTTATTATGTACATCAATACAATTAAGATCCAGATGCTTCAATATTTTTGCTAATTTATTCTAAGAAGTGAATAAGACTGAGTACGAATTGCACTTACATGTTCACGAAAAATCTGTTGCTGGTGTTTAGACCTTGAAAAAAGCATAGTGGTCATCCACTCTCCATCAGATAACTGCTTGTAAGCTTTTTCATAATTTTGATGCTGAATGAAGTTTACTATAATTTGTTTTAAGTCTTGATCAACTTTTGGTTGTCGAAATCTAAAGGACACCACAAATTAATTATTTCGCATTACTCGTACTTTTTTATGCATCAAACAATTCAATAAAAACGTCCCCGATAATTACTTTGTGATATAGAAATACTGTTTACACCAATAAAATATATAAGAAACCAGTGTTGTATTTGAAACATTATCTGACTATCAGTAGCAAATAGGGGTTGAACTTCATAATGATCCAGCCAACCTTGATTTTTCTAAAGTAAGCCCTTTCATCATGGTAACAAGTTAAAATTGCTCTAAAATTGAACAATTAACTTGATTACATATGAGCACCATTACATCAATCAGTGTCATGAAAATAACTAACTGAAATCAGCGTTTCCAACAATTCAAGTAATCGAAATATTACCATTATGATTTATCAGTATTATTTTCAATTAATTCAAGGTTGTTCAACTTAATTAGTGTCAGGACTCAATAAAATAATCAGCTAATCAAAATGTTTTAGATTATTACTATTTTTCATTCTTCCACTAATCCAAGTCTCATATGTGAATGATTATTTGAATGTAATTGAATAATGAGTCTTACAATTAATCTATCAGTAACTTTCACTAATTGCCCAGCTCTAGTTTGCTCATAATTACTCAGAAAAATTACAAAGATGAGAAACAATGCAGAGAAAAAAACATTTTAATAAAAAACAGACATCAGCTAGAGGAACACTCTGTAGAGCGCATACCTCTGCCACGCAGCACTGATCATATTCGGCCCTCAAAAAATACAAAAATATGTCCATCATCATCAATGGACAATTTTTGGCAGGATAATGAGGAATAATATTTTACATATCTCCACCAAGTTTCATCAAAATCTGATCATTTTTGACCGAGTTATACAATAAAAACAGTGTGAAAATTCAGTCCCCGTGTTAATAAAATACGGATTTTTTGTATTTTCATGACATTGTTGTGGCTTGACTCTCCAAAAACTAGTCACTTCAGCCTTTTTTTGAGAAATCTTGCTGACAAACCCACACATATAGTGCAAGCTTCTCATTTTATTCATGATTGGTAGGGTAAAGTCATTTCATCCACTGGTACCAAAATATCGAGAACCATTACCTGTTATAGTTCAATTAAGGAATTTTGACATTTCTAAAAATAAATTGTGAATTTTTAATTTGTGACATTTTATTGACAAACAATAAACATTACTATTTTACTAAGTAGAAATGTTAAACTATCAACATTTTCCCAAATCTATAAAAATAATTTAGAAATAGTTATTGTTCTTAAATGTCTTATGTTCTTACAATGTAGTGAAGATATTTTCATTACTAACACAAGTTAAATACATGAAATTTTTAAGCATGTTTTCAACAGAAATCTTCAAGTACATAATGGTTATTAATGTCTGAACCACTGAATATAAATGCACAAATTTTTGTACTCAGAATCATTACTACATCAGAAGTAACACACTTAAACAAGCATGCTGACCTGTAAAGACTATTACTGAACATGTGAAGAAACAGACTCCATTCACGTAGTACGTGATTATGGATATTGCACAAGGAAAAGTTCTCCTGTGGAGAATTAAATATTTCATATTCACTACGACTCATTTGTTGCTGATGCATTAAAACAGAATGCTGAAATTGCATTAGAAAATTTATAGTTTACCCTAAATTGCTCTAATAATAATAATTTTACTGGAGGACATACATATAATTTGGAAATTATGAATAAATATTAAAAGGGAAAATCCTACACTTGAATTATCAAGGAGAGTAACCTAAAAAGAAAACAGTTCTATTAACTTATATTTTCTTTAAAGTGTATCCAAATTATGAGCATATATAAATACATACTGATCAATATGTAGATTGTCTTACCTGAGGTTCATTTTATGAGTAGTAAATCCCAGGTATGAATCAAGAATTAAGCTAGTCACTAGATCATCATTCTCACAGAGTTCTTTAGCTGTCATTCTCGTAGAAGACATTGTTCGACTATTCCCTTCAACCACCATAATTACTTCTTTCAAGAAAAACAATAAACCATTTATTGCACTATGCTGATGAAAAAGCTTAATACAAATGATAAGAGCAAAAACTAAAGAAAAATATTTTAATTACTTGAAATGATAACTATCTTTACAAAATGTGGCACTGAGATACATTTCATTCTTAAATGGCCATTAGAATAAGCAATTTGTGTCACATTTTTTTTTTTTTTAAACAGAACATAAAAACCAGTGTTCTAACATTATAAAGGTTTCTCAATTGAGCATGGATTCTAAGCGAATATTCTAGAGGTAACATACAATATTGATAATA